AATGAGATAAAAACATTATTGCTCCTTGGTTATGTGCATCAATAAATACTCACTTTATCAAAACTATATATTTACGTACGCGTAGGTAGTGCTTTATTGTGTTAATCCTAAATGGATTTTTTCCTCCTGTACCACGTTGATGACCATTTACGTTCATCTGTATGTATATCTACAGTTTTTGTTCTTTACAATAACTCTTTTTACTTATCCGTGCCTTATCAATATTCATGTTTTTTGTGCCTTCAGTCTTTTCTTCTCTTTCAAATTTTGCACGTTTTTCCTTATTATTATTGTATATTTTCATTACCAACCAAGCGAGTTTTTACTAAAAGTGATAGGAAAAAATCCGGAAATCAATTCAGAACTGTAGATAAATCTTGGAAAAAAATTTGCTCCCAAACAACTGTTGTGAAAACCATTTTTCCAGTACAAAAAAATCAGAGTGCTATGATTCCATTGGTAATCGAATAATCAAAGCCTCGACAACGTTCTTACAGAAATTCCTTCATTAGCATGTATAGAGGTATAGCCACTTTGTGTTTCGTATATTATATATAGGTAATAATCGTTGATACATTGGCTGTGTTCAAGTTTTGTTACCAAACCATGTACTGTATGTACCAAACGATGATTTTCATGATTCCACTTAGTAAACATTATAGCGTTTATTGTTTCAACTCATTTACTCAAGATAAATAGTAGATACAGTTTTTTTTACGGTGTATGAAACATGGAAATTCCGTTGCAAGTGATAGTAGACAATCAATTGTATGTACACCCAAGTAAGAAGCATCCACATGTACTTGACGCGTGATTGTGAAAAAAGTCTGAAATCCCCCGGTACCTATGGAGTCAACTAAAACATTTGTTCAAACTTGCATCAGGTTGAATTTTTTACTAAATCCTCGGGGCTGGTTCTAAGTTTTTACTTCGTGGACTATAGCTGCTTCGCGGGACTTACGGTATCGGCGAGGGGCTGCGCTCTAGTGAAGTCATTAAAAAAGACTTCGAAAGTCTCAAACAGACTTCGGAGTGCACAGCTCCTCGAGTATAGGTCAGATGAAAAATGAAGAAAAAGGGGCATCGGAACAAATTTAAGTTTCACCACCCTACATAGAAAAACAAAACATACCCCAAATTACTGCTCGTATACATCCGCGGCTCCAATTTGCATTCGTTAAAATCTGATTGTTGGAAAAAAAAAAAAATAAATAAATAACGCGTCGGTTTGTTTAACGCGACTTATGCGCGAAACATAAAGTCAATAGCGAGCATTCACGTATATAATCGCTCGTTATATCCTCATATAAGCGCTCGTTCGCATGCGCGTACACCCACGACGAATTCTCTTATCCTCGCATTCAATGGAGAAAAAAAAAGAGCATTGAATGTAATCTCAAGATCCGCGCGCTCCCGCACACACTCACGCGCGGACCAACAAATGGAAAACGACTCTCGTTTAATTCGCCTTTATTACGCGCATCGCGGCGAGTCCTTTTTATGGCAATGGGCTCACGTAACCGTCAGCGCGTGTGTGCACTATATACGTGGGTCCACAATACCATCAGGACAGGCAAGCGCGAGTGTCCTTGGTGTGATGATGTTGTCGAGGGACGCATTAACTTTTTTGTCTCGAAATTGTTTCTTTTTTTTTTTTTTTTTTTTTTTTTTTTTTTTTTTTTTTTTTTTTTTTTTTTTTTTTTTTTTTTTTTTTTTTGTTCACGCATACTTGAGTTACGCGTTTCGCGTGGAAAATCGAAAAATGACGTATACGATTCCTCACAACAAACTTGCGAGTTTGAAACTGGTAGTACATATACATAATATACGTGCACTTATGTACCATAAAGTCGTAATTTGTGGTGCACAAACGAGGGAGTAAGAAAAAAAAAAAAACTCGTAAAGGTTGAGCATGCGATGTACACATTGATTACACGTTCCGTGTGTATGTGTGTATATATACACATGCAAACACCTTTTGTGTCGCTCATTAAGCGAAGTAGATTGCAAGTTACGTACACCACACAATGCAAGCTTGTACACATTCATACATGGACGTGATCGTGCCGTCGCTGCTGATGATGATGATGATCGGAGGACTAATTTCTTTCATGTACATAAGTAATATGTGTATTGTGTGCATCTGCACGAAATACGAGTTGCGCTGCTGTAGGCGCACAGAGTTTGTCTTTCGTATTAAATTTAACGATGCAGAGTCGGTGTGGGTACTTTAATTTACTGGGCAAAGCTAAATGGACGATTATACGTATAATATGTGGTGCACAGGTGCGTGCACGCGAGGCTAAGACGTATAGTTTGTTTATCGTCATAACGTAGCGTGAGAAAATATTATTTATTACTCGATGAAGCAGAAAGCATTACCTCCGAATGGTCAATATGTCGAATGGTTCGGCTAAGTGATGTGAAAATCATTGCGAACTGATTTAAAAAAAATAGTAATAATAAGATTGTACATCTGGTACGTTCGGTACATCCGATGTATTTTTTTTTTTGTTGCTCATTTTTCGATAAGAAGCTGACGAATGGTGCAAGTGAAGATCGTAACAAGCAGTTTATGGTTTTTTAAATGCACTTTGAATTTCAAATTTCCATCATCATAAAATTTATATGACAGAGTGGTAATATCTTTGTTCAAGATAACATTTCGTAATTCCAAGCGAAGATTTGCTGTTTCGATTTATCATGTGATATGTACTAAGAAAAGCTTTCAAGTCCTCATAACCAGCCACTTCTCTGTTAGATGAAAGTATGATTTTTTTGGAGCCTGGACTTCAAGAAAACTTTGGCAGAAGCATGGATCTTGTGTATAGGTAGTGCGTGACCCAATTTTCACAGTATCTGCAAAAATCTTTAGCTATAGGTGGGATTCATAGCTGAAGTTTAACTTCTTTTTTTTTGCTTATAAGTTGCAATGGTTTAAGAGTAGAAGGCTAAAAAAGACACCTACCATGTATTTATTTATTCGTGTATTATCTCAGGTATTGGAAAAAAAGTTTTCAATTATTGCGTTTAGGCATGTGCACTAAATTTTTTAGACTCAGAAAAAACCCTCTCATATTTAACTCAGGCCTAAAAATTTTAATTTTTCTTATCGAGCTAATGATCGCAACAACGTTTGTTTTTTTTTTTTTAACGTTTTAAAGCATTTGATAAGTAGTTAAAATTAAAAAAAAAAAAACGTTTTTTTAGTTGAATACTAAAAGTTTCGATAGGGGTATATAGGTATTTGAAAGTTTTTCGAGACTAATAGAAATATCATGATTTTTGTCACAACAATTTTGAAACATACAATTCATTCAATAAAAATTTGTAACTTTTTATTATTAAATACGTTAAAAGGAATAACAAATTTGTTGTTATCACGAGAATCACAGCTGTTTTCCAGTTCACTTTGAAGTTATAGGGTCATTTTTCCAGACCTTAAATAAATTCTCGAACACCCTACTATTGAGATTTTTTCTTGGCACTCGACTCAAACCACAACGATTATTGCACAATTTTCAACTGTCAAATAAGTAGGTACTTTAGATAGAATGCACAACTTATTTGCAAAAACAATGTTTACTTAGAAATGTACTTTAAAGATACATAATGTTCATTCTAAGTTTCAAAACAAAATCTTCGAACATACCTAGTATGTTGATATTTATTGCTGATTTTTCGGACAAAACTTGGTATGGACACATGATTATTCTTTTCGCTCATCCGCCATATGGTTAATAATGAGATTATACCAACATTTATGAATAATTCGTTGTAACTATAGTTCCAGTAGATATTCGCTAGCATAAGAACTTATGGAACTTTGGAATTGAGTTATATTTGTGAAATACCTTGCACATGACTGGTGCTCACGAGCACCATACTATATAACTTCAGAGCTCGTTTCTAAGACATCAACGTCGAATGAATGTTTGCGAGTACACGCCGTACAGTGTAAGGTGGTGAGTGTGATGCTGCAAGGCCAATGACTTTTACTGCAATCGAAAATTCGTGAGGGGCACTCGGCAGCATTTGGTGTGCGGCGTTGTGCTTGGCGCGTATATTATGTACCTTTTGAGATCGGACATGTGTTGGGGGAATAGTAAACAAACACATAAATACTGGAAATCAATAGAAGTTGTGGTATATATACGAGGAAATCCACCAAAAATATCTCGTTTTTGTCCCCCATGTAATTTTAAATAGTGTCACCCTTACTCAAACCCGTGTTCAAAACTTTTGCCTCGTAGTACACGGCATTGCGACTAAAATGAGTCCAGTTTCAAGGGTGTACCTCGAAAAAAATTTTTATTTATTTAAATGGGGGACAAAAATGGGAAATTTTTTCGTGGATTTCCTCATGTACATTCATAAAAATCGTGATGTTGCTGCTTCGGATTGATTCAAATAATTGCAGGAACCATTTGCAGTAGGAAAATGAAATAATTTTTTTACCCTTCAGTCCAAAAATTGGTATTCAACTGAAAATGAAATTGAAAAGTTTTCGTAATAAAAAATTATGAGCAAGAACAATTTTAAAAAATGCCTAACGTTTGAAAAAGTTTACAAATCTGTAAAATCGTAATCATTTTTCTGAGTAACAATTACTTTTATTCCTAATCCAAGAAATGGGAGGAATCACCTACTTATTCTTTCACAGTTTTACCGTTCACAAATATATGACGATGTGAATAGCACCTACGCCTTTACTTACCCACACTACGAACGTGATCGAGACACTTTCGCTATTGAATCATCAGATGTATAATATACAAGTAAAAATGTATTGTTACTGTGACGCTTAACCTACCCACGAAACAATCAAATGAAAGCCAGATAGCCAATAGTTTCGTTTGGAAACATCCCTGTGTACCATTAGTGCAAAAAAGCATTTATTTGACCATAACGGTGTATAATCTATGATAAAATGAAAAAAAAAAAAAAAAAAAAAAAAGATTTGTTTACCTAACGGTCGCATCTCTGTTTTTCTTTTACAGTCGTACGCGCGAGACAAAGCGCAGCCGAAGAGTCTACCGCCCCACACGACTCTCCAGAGACACGTCAAAGCAAACCGAAACGTCCACATACCAAGGTAAGACTAACAACATATTATTGCCTTTACATGCTCTTGCCACTTACACCTATACATACCTATTGATACAGTACATTATAGTCATCATTTCTGTATATATAGACGCGTGTGAACTTTCGTACGATTTTTTTTTTCTTTTCCAATTACCGATACCCATTGCATGTATACACTTTCACGTGTGATATCTCTTCCCTTCCCCAAACAACAAATCAGCGCGTCGAAGATCCAAAAAACATGCAGATTAAAATGCAATTCTTTGATCAACAACAACGAACGAGTCCAACCGTCCCTTGTTTGTTCGAAGGTTCTATTATCCCGGGGGTAAGCCAGTGCCATTATCGCAGGTCGAGGCAACGATCGCCCGGATCAGCGCGGCTTTCCAGAGTCTTCCAGGTCATCGGGCTTCGCGCTCGCAGTTCCATGCCATTACGAAGGTATGCCGGCTATTTGCCTTTTTGCTGTATATACACGTGATACAACCGTACGCGCATTTTATGTATACCTATAAGTACTGCTACTACCGAGTACTACTATGTACTTGTATGCATATATTGTATGTAAAGATAGAGTGGAAGGTGCTGTTTCTCTTTTGCTTTACTCTGTGATGTGCAGGGTATACGCTTCATTCTGCATGTTACCATCCATCGCTCGTTTTTACACGTGTACTTCAACAAAAGTTATGGGCTTGTCGATTAAGGTAGTACTCTCGAGACTCTAGTTACTGTTCAGATTTCTTTCAAATCTCGTGAGCCTACACTGAGACAAAAAAATTATGAAAATTGTTGAGAAATTCCAGCAAAAATTACCATTCCGCACAGTAAATCGGATGTAAGCTGGCAGAAAAGGAAAAAATTATTATTTTATATAGTAAAGATAATAGTTTGAGTAGTTAGAGTTATGGTAAAGTAAACTTTCAAAGGATCGGTTAATAAATTTTACTTTTCAGCATCGAAATTTCTACTGTTCTCACCATAATTTTTACTTTTCGAATCGTAATTTGAACCGTTACAACAATAATCTTTACTATTGAAAGTAATAATTTTTTCCTTTTTTGACTCTGATTTACTGTACGAAATGGTAATTTTTTCTGGTATGTCTCTATAATTTTTATTATTTTTTTCTCTCAGTGTACGAAAACGTATACTCGGGGGTGTGGATGAATCGCGCTGGTGGTCGCGCGTTTAGGTTTGCTTCTGTCGANGGTGTGGTGGATGTTTACGGGAAATCGTAGTGAAATTTACATTTTCAAAAAAACTACTTGCCAATTAGATTTTAATAAAAAATTAATAAAGCAGAAACTGAAGCTGCAGGATCAATAATATATTATGTATTTAAGGTTCGCTTCGAAATTTTGATACAGAGCGCGTGAGAGAATTAGTTGAACGAGGTAAAAAAATTTTTCCAAACGAGCACAATAAAGCAACCTCTCCTTCTTTCAGGATAACATCAACTTTCCAACTATACATAAGATGCATTTTTTTTTTTTTTTCTTTATTCTCGAAATTTCTCCCCAATACCATTAGAGACGCGATAATGACTCACGCGTCGATGCAGCTCTCTCCTCGGCTTTCCATTGTACGCAAATGAGTTAGCCGTGGCGCGCGAAAAAAAATTCCCGCGAGATGATGATTAATAATTTGCCCGCGGTCTACAGGCCTGCGATCTGCCGCTGTACTGGAAGGTTCCACTTTTCCTGGCCTCGGGGGGCGACACCAACGGGATCATCGAGATGAGCGAGTTCCTCGACTTTTGGAAAGAGTGAGTATACATAATATATATACACCTAATTACCCGTAACAAGCACCTCTTCCGGTGCATGTATACTCTCTAAATTTTAAATAAGTATAGTGATAAGTGCAGTATAACTTTTTCAAAATAGCGAATCAGTCAATTTCACTGTTTCAAAGTTGTATATATTTATAACTTATTTGAACTAGTGAATGTTCACTGGGAAATAGTGAATATTCACTATTTCTACCAAGTTAACGTTCCACTATTTAAATTAGTCGGTAAAATTATTGTTGGTACCATTTGAAATAATGCGCATGGGTTGTACAATTATCTTTATTTGGATCAAAATCGTTATAGTTGAATTACTGATGAATATTTAGAATTAAAACTTATGTCGACTTGGCGCGAATAAAAGATCCTACAAAACTTCACTATTTCGCCAGTGAAAATCCTGTTCATTTGCGCAAATAGTGAAATTTTCACTGTTTCAAGTTAACAGAGTACCCCAATTACAAGCGCCATGATAGTTATTCCTTTTTTTTTTTTTTTTTTTTTTTTGTGACACACTTGAACCGATGATGTCCTTTGCCGAAAGCTACTCGCAACATTTGCACGAGTAAGCGTGTGTCGTCTATCTAATTTGATGTCCATTGCCACGAATCTCCATCGAGTGAAAAAAAAATCACCGAGTCACATATTGTTGTAAAACAATGAAAAAAAAAAAAAAAAAAGAAAAAAAAAAAGTGACCAAGAACTACGCACTAACCCCCTTGATCGGCTTGCCCCCAGATTGACGAACTCGCATCACGACGCGGCCAGTAAATTCGTGCGCATCGTGACCCGGGGCCTAAGGCCGAGCATATTCCCCGAGGACCTGATACCCCTGGTCCAGGACGTCGTCGAGACCCATCCCGGACTGACATTCCTCAAGGAGGCGACCGAGTTCCACTCGCGCTACGTCCACACGGTAAGAGATCTGATATCTTCCCCCGATGCCCCACCCAATTTTTTTTTTTTTTTCCCCATCAATATATATATATTATACGCGGATCGACCACACGTGCATCAGCCGATGCTTTCTCCGTCCAGCATTTTGTATACACTTGTAAATGAGAAGAAAGAAGGGGGACTCTCTCCCCCCGCGCAGCGGCATCGGAGGCCGGGAAAGCGTCGCTCGCGCGCGCGCTCGGCTCGTTCTCTTTGTTGGAAAATCAATAGGGCGCGCTCTGCCGCTGCTCGAGGGACACGTTATAAATATATGTGTATATACAACATTTACGTACAAAACCTCTATAGTTGTACCATACGTACATTATATTTTATATGTTTACACAAAAGCGTGTAGGTGTGGGCGAGAGTTTGTGTATATTACATTTATATATATATATGTATGTATGGGTGGTATGCATTTAGAGACCGGCACGGCCATTGTCTCCTACGTACCCTTACGCCTTTCTCGGAGCGCGTGTGTGGTATACGTGCGTTTAGGTTCTTCTCTCGAGACAATATAGTATATAACTAAGTCGATCGGTGTATATGGTATGGCTTTGCTTGCTTGGGTTTTGATTTTTGGATTTTGAGGGGGAGGTATGGGAGCGGTTTGTTTTTGTACAGAACGAATGACTCGATGGGAAAATGCAGGGTATACTTTTTATCGTTTACGTGAGACAATTTTATTCGCCACTCGAGAATTTTCATTTCATTTCAAGTTTCGAAATTTATGCCTACCAAGTGCTTTTCGCGGGCAAAAATATAGTATAGTATCGGCGTGATTAGAAATACATTGATGGCAATCGCTGGTCTAACTGTGCACGGCTCCGTAGAATGTCACGCAACACCTAAATTTAATACTGCAGTATTTACTTTACTTTACGTGATTTGTGATTCGAGAAAAAAAAAAAAAAAAAAAAAAAAAACATGTTTTTGACTTTCATACCCAAAATGGTTTTTATCGTCTACTTACATAATTATTTTCACGAAATATCTTGCGTCGGTCGACATTACGCATATACATACATATATGGCAATTGCACTTTTTGGTAATTGGTAAATGAATTGTATTTTAAATACCTTGGATGTAAAAACCCCGTGAATTTGTATTTGTTTCATTACACGTGGAGCCCATTACCCTCAACTTGCTTTAAAAATCTAGATGAAATTCAATTATATTTAGCGAAAACTTCGAATAAAATTCGTTAGTATGCAACGAGAAAGATATATTTTTCCCGAAAAAATTCAACTCACACAAGTATTCGATTGCAGGTGATTGCGAGGATATTTTACTGCGTCAATCGCAGCTGGAGCGGCAAAATCTCGCTGTCGGAGCTCAGGCGGAGCAACTTGCTGTCGGTGATCGGCGTACTCGAGCACGAGGAGGATATCAATCAGGTGACCGCCTACTTCAGCTACGAGCACTTTTACGTCATCTACTGCAAGTTCTGGGAGCTCGACCGCGACCACGACCTGTTCATCGACAAGATGGATCTCACCCGACACAACGATCACGGTGAGGACTTTTTTCTTTCCCCAAAATCAACCATTTGCTGGCTATTGGTTTACGACACGTTTTCACGGAGTACATGTTTCAATCGAGTTTTGATAGGAAAAAAAACCATAAAGCAAACTATATGCTCGTTAAACGTTTCCAAACAATTGGCACATTTTGCTTCGTCCACAGCACTGTCGACACGGATGATCGAGCGGATCTTCAGCGGGGCGGTGACGAGGGGCGTCAAAAGTGCCAACGGCGTCCAGCACCTCGAGGACAAGATGAGCTACACCGAGTTCGTCTGGTTCTTACTCAGCGAGGAGGACAAGAACCACCCCACCGCCATTGAGTACTGGTTCAGGTATACATGTACAACATACGCGTGCCCTGACGTTGCATATTATTACTGTTGTCATTGGCCTTTGCCCCAATAAATAATTCTTGGTCCCGTGCAGGTGCATGGATTTGGACGGTGACGGCTACCTCTCGATGTACGAGCTGGAGTACTTTTACGAGGAACAATTGCACAGGATGGAAGCCATCGGAATTGAAACTTTGCCCTTCGAAGACTGCCTCTGTCAGGTGCGCAACGGGGAAGGGAAGACCATAACACATCCACGTGATATTGAAACTCGTTACTTACGTGATATTAAAATGTATTGCAGATGCTGGACATGCTCCATCCGGTGATTCCGGGGAAGATATCGCTGAGCGATTTGAAAAAGTGCAAGATGACGTCCATATTCTTCGACACGTTCTTCAATCTCGAGAAGTACTTGGATCACGAGCAGAGGGATCCGTTCGCCTCGGCCAGGGATCATGACGCGGACGGACACGAGGTAATTTTCCATTTTTTCAAGCCTTCCCAAGTATAGCTATGTTGTACAACTCTAACTGTTGTTTTGTTTCCTTGCAGCTTTCGGACTGGGATCGTTTTGCAGCTGAAGAGTACGAACTTTTGGTGGCCGAGGAAAGCGGCAACGACCAAAACGATCAATCGTGAGTATCTCGGTATACTTTTCACCCGCCTCTTTCGTCTCATAACATAACATACCTATGGTTGAACGCTAAAATTCAGATGAAGAAAATTCTCACCTCTCTACACCCATACAAACTATCGTCATGATGCTTTTACTTTGTCATACTTTTTTTCCAGTGTACGCTACTGCATTCGTTTCTTTCCTTTCGAGTAACCATTAGTTCATCATCACGAGTAGTTTTTTGAGTTTTCGTCATATTATGTTTATAGCTGACGTTTACTTTGAGTTTTGTATTTTCATTTTTTTTTTTTTTTTTTTTTCTTTTTTACTTTGAGTTTGGAATAATCATACGTACATAACTTCGATTACTTTTGGCACAAGTATGGATCTTTTATTTATATTTTTTGCCATACACTACTGGCATGCCTCGTGTGTGGTCGTATGTACATATACGATTTAGCACTTTTTATTTGCATTTGGATTATTATCATCATTTTGATTTTATGTATACGATGAGTCTAAAGAAAATAATCGACTATCATTTTCAGAATCTATTAATTTTTCGATTATGATTTCCATGATTTTCAAGTAGAAGAGCTTTGCACATCAGATAAGCCATCATAATCACGTCGCAAGCATGTACACTACTCGAACATTCATTCAGTACCATGTTATATAATATATAATATATGTCATGATGACCATAACACGTATCATGCACCATCATTTGGTTTTATCTCGTAAATATCACGAAGTTCGCAATAACGTTATAATAAATTTGTTACAGGCTGTGTGATGATGAAATGTAACCATCATCTACAGCTCAATGAGTAAGTCCGAGTATCGCATGCGAGCATTAGTATGTGCAAACATTTGTAGTGTTGATTGCTTTGATGTTTTATTATTATGATTGTTTTTTATTTTTTTTTTTTTTTTTTTTTTTTTTTTTTTTTTTTTTTTTTTTTTTTTTTTTTTGATGCATGGTTTTTTATTACCAACTTTGGAATAAGTATTTAATTACAATCAAAGACTTTTACAAAACAAAAAGAAACGTAAAAACTAATTATGTTTGGTTTCCTTTTTTTTGTGACAAAACAAAACTAAATTTCGTTTATTTAAAAACTTTTGCTGTTTTTTTTTTGTTTCGAAAAAAAATTTCTCATATTACTTCCAAACAATTAGGTCTATTTTTTTGACAACAAATCAAAATTAAAATAAATCGTGATAAAGCGACACAAATATATACTTTTATTAATTCATCAGTTCGTATATTTATAACGAAATTAAATTATATTACTTTCATTTGATACTAAACTTTGTAAAGTTTCTGAAGATAAAAAAATATAATTAAACTGAAAATTTATTTCACTTCCTCGTATTTTTAGGAAACAAAATACAGTTATTTTCGTTCATTTTATTTTGTTATGGAAAGAACGAAACTGAGCTAAAAGAATATTAATTTCGTCAGACTTTTATAAATAAAACAAAAGAAAAACTAAAATTTCGTTTCTGAAAATGAGAACGACGTAAATCGTTAGTTTTTAAAAAAGTCCTTGGTTACAAGTGTGTTTTTTTAATTTTCGTAAGAACAAATGTGTTTGTTTTATCTTCTTATTTTAGATGACTTTGAATATTCACCTTATTATTAACTAAAGTGAAAATAACAATTATTTTACCGCACTTAATAGAGCACAACGTAGTATGGTAGTTGGAAACTTTATTTTTATTTGCGAAAGTAATTATTTATTTTATTTCGTTTCACCTATAAATAATCTTAGAATTTTATGCATGGTTTTCAAAGTGATTGTAGAACATATTATATACTTTTGGCTTGTATCAAAACTTAGTTTCTTCCTTCTCTAACATTTTTAATGATAACATCAAAAAGGTTGGCCACTTGAAACGGTCTCTACTTATTTATATATCATTGTTTTTCCTGGATACAAATAGAAGGCTCTAGTTGCGTTAAACATTAGATGTTAATGTAAGATAAGTGTGACTTTATAATTCAACGTTATACCCATCGTTGTCAAATATTTATGTTAATACACATCATGCAAAATTTTAATTGTTCGGCATTGAAAAAAAAAAAAAAAAAAAAAAAAGTCAATGTTCTCACAGTGTGTAATATATAAGACACATTTGACCGAAGCATTTAAACACCAGTACGACCGATGATTTGCAGATTGTACGACACGGTCGCGGATGACGAGTACTCGGCGAACCTGGACATCCTCATCGGCGAGTCGGTGGACACGTCTACGTCGGCCATGCAAGTCGATCGCTCGGCATCGGGTGCCGGGTACAGGGACGAGCTCGGGAACACCAGCAGCAGGCGAACCTCCGCGGCCAAGAACTCGCACTACGATAGCTGCGATAGCGACGATTACGCGGACAGCGACAATTGATGTTGGCCGATAATGACGTGGAAAAAGACGAGGAAGAGAAACAATAGCGGCAACAGCTGATCCAACTCGCGGAAGATCGTTCACTCGGATCAGCGATACATATGAGAGTTTCAATTGACAGTATATGCTTACAATACATGTATATCATGTGCAGGTCAGCTCTCACGACCGAGGGCGCTTGGCACTTTTGTAAATAGCGCGCGTACCGTTTTTAGTAATATATAGGTGGATTTTCTCTGATACCATCGCTTGGAGCGCAATTGCGGTCCACGTGATCTCAGGCTAAAGTGTTTTTTTTTTTTTTTGTCCCTCGAATGAGGAAGAGTGAGGGCCGAAAGCTCAGTGTGCAGTGTGTGCGGGGAACGAGGACATTTTTATCGTACATGTACAGTAGCGTTAATTGCTCCGGATCGGGATGCCGAAAATGTCATCGATTAGCCGCTTTTGTAATAAGGTGTGATATTTTTTTTTTCTTTTTTAAGATTCTCAGATTAATTTTAGGGAATCGTTGGAAAACATGTTAGTATCTACGTTTGTTATAGTGCTGATAATTTTAGGTGTTGCATAGTATTGGTAGAAGATGATCTGTTTAATAAATTTAAGTGATCCTTGTTACCACATCGATTATTTTTTTTTTCTTTCAGCTATACTTATGTCCTTTTTTTCTGTCAAATACCGTCTTCCGAATTATATTGAAATATCACCGTAAGAAAGTAAATACCAATTGTATCAAATACTGTTAAGTGCAGAAATACGAGTACTTTTACGTAACTGTAGGTTCAAAGCTTATATTGAATTGACTTTTTTTAAAGAGACGTTTTCGATACTTTGACAATGTATTCTTGACGAGTGCAGTGTTATATTTTTAATGTTAGAGTGGAAAAAAAGTGATACCAACATCAATTGAGGTTCTTCAGTGAAAATAGAACAAGTATTTTTAAATAAAGCTTGAGTTTTTTTTTTTTTTTTTTTTCAAGTGATACCAAGGTACCCATAACGAGTTAATGTAAATATCACGTGAAAATTGCCATTTTAAATAAATTAAAAAAAAAAAAAAACTTTTATTCTATCGATTTAACAATAACACGTTCGACAAACCCGTGTGCTGAAAATTGATGATCTATATAGCAAGATAACTTATAAATACATACTTTTGAAGGCAAAAGTTCCAAAATATAAGACAAAAAAAAGATATGAACAAACAAGTATTTATATACCAGTATGTAGAATAGAAGAGTTATGACTATTTATATTAAACAGAAATAAGAGAGAGGGAAACGTGTCATTTTGTAACGAAAAATTGTGTAGCCATACCGTAAAATATCGTAATCCCAGTAATCATAGCGACATTGCGATTAAGGCAAAAAGCTTTTAATATATATAAACATATGTATGCTATGTGTATATCAGTACAGTAATTTTCAGAGTATAATCTCTCGATAAGACGCCGATTAACGCGTGTATCCCATCTCTCTTTGTTCAATTAGTAAACCCGACCTTACGTTGTGTAACTTATATATTTGAAAATTTGTATAACATGGATGCACACCGAAAAATTTTTAATGGATCTGATGGAGAGAATCTTTTACTTTAGCAATGCGGCACAATTATTTTTAGTTTTGTAAATTTATAGTTGACACTAGTAAAACTCAAAGAACATTGATAGTTACCCATAATATCATTTTATGAATTTCAAAGAGAATAAAAATCGTTAAAAGAAAAAAAAAATTTTTATTTTCAATTAAAAAAAATAAATAAAATAAAATCAGTGTGGTACACCAAAAGTTCATCCCAACATGTATAACGTATCGGTGGAATTCTGCGACTCCTTGCCATACGAGACTAACCCGCAATAGATTAATTGTAGATGACTAATTATTTTATTTTAATCTCTTCTATCGCTTCTTTTTAGAGTTGCCAAGACTGCTGGACTTGTACATATTCATAACGTAATTTTAATTTTATTCTACCGATGATAAAAGATAATAGTATAAATCTAGTTATAAATATGGGTATGCATACACACACACACATGTTTGAGAAAATAATGTAAGAAATATTCTAGTCCATTGCGTGCTATTGTGTAATATTTTTCCCCGTTAATTCATGAACTCGAAATAAGAAATGTATTTGTCTCTCCAATTACGAAGGTAACAAATAACAATATCGATAAAATATGTATAATGATATAGGAGCAGAAAGTAACGCCGACAATTTTGCAATCAACCGTATAAATGATATTAAGCGTATGGAGAAACGAGCGTTCGAACAAGTACACAGCAAATTATTTTTCGCATTGATGAAGGAACGCACCTTTGGAGGATTCCCTTTTTCTCTTTTGGTGACAAAAGAAATAACATTTCTTCTTAATCAAACAATCAATCAAGTACTTACTAACTTAAAAAAAAAAAAAAAAGAGTACATAAGTCTCTTCACGATCAAAACTTTGTTAGTGACAAAAAAATCGAAAAAGTCATGTCGATATACATTTGCATATCACGTATAGGAAAATTTTCATAAGATGAAACAATGTCAACTACATTACCATTTTCGTATGTTTGATTATTGTACACGTGCCTGGGCATGTGGGTTCCTATTTGAGTATTCTGTTAAATTGGCATTTTCAGTTTGGAAAAAAAATGAAAAAATTCAACGTCAAAGCAAAAAGAGAAAATAAGCCAAACGTGGGAATACGTATATTGAATTTTTCGTTAATTATCCAAAGATGTATTATCTCGTAAGCAGCGACTAGAAAGTACACTTAGGTGAGATGCTTGTTATGGTTTTTTACGATATTTATGTAATGTGTAAATTTGTTTCATTTATTGTCCTTGAGTATCAACGTATAACTTATTTGATAAGAAAAAAAAAAAAAAAAAAAAATTAAAAGGTAAGAAAATCATCTCCCGACGATACGCATACATATATTATTATATATTTACCATTGCATTTGACATTTTCAATCGTTATATTTATTGATTAATTATATATACCATAGGTTTATCGTTGTTTCAGCGTTTTAGTACGCTAAAGTGAAAGAAAAACATTATTTGCAATCCCAAGAGGAAATACGGCCAATTTGTTCTTTTGCTTTCTGTTGATGAGTATGTATGTACGTTATTTTTGCAATGTAGTGTATTTGAAAAATGTGAAGAAGAAACAATCTTTGAGTAACGCGCCAGTTTTGAAAATACGTCTTACGAATGATCGAAGCAACGTAACATATTGTAGATTCGTAAACAGACATTTTATGTATAACGTGTACCTACTTATTCTTTATAAAAATATAACTTGTATGTTTTTTAGTTACAAATAAAAGAAAAAAAGTGAAAGAATTACATGAAATATGTACACATGTGAGACATTCATATCGTTTTGTTATATAGTTGTGCAAAAATTGAAGTGTGAAGTAAAAGGTGTAATATATACTATAGGAGCATCTGCTTTAAAAGTCGAAGAAACCTCTAAAGAAAAAATGAATGAGCCGCCAGTTAAACAATGAATGGACACAAGATGTAGATACAAACAATTAAACATCCGTCGCAGATGTTGCCTTTTTTTTCAATCGACAGGAAGAAAGTTTACGCATGCGATTGAAAAAAAACCTAATGTGTACGCTTATCTCGTACATCCGACTCTTGAATCAGTTACCCAGACTTACCAGATATTGATGATAATTTGATAATAATCGTAATGATAATTATAGAAATGCGTATTTTTCACATAAAAGTCGAAAATATTTCTGCAGCATAAATTATTGCGTATTACTATATAAAAAACAAATGAGTGAGAAATGATTGAGAGATACAAAGAAAAGAAGGTATACAAGGCAATGTGGTATATGTTCTTTCGAGTCTGCGCGAAATCGATGTTGCAACGAGCCTTAATCTTTCGAAATATCATTATTACGTCAATGTACAACGCATACTTTGACTATATTTATCTTAAATAAACTTTAAGTAACCCATAATGAGTGTTTATGTTTTTTCATCAGTTTACCTTACACTTATATTTCACATTAGTTTTGATACTCCAACACATTAGTGTTAATAAAATGTCTGTTACTTTCTATCTTTCATTACTTTCTCGAAAAATTTCAGTTTCACTGCAGTGAGAAATGGATAAGAAAAAAAACTTTCAGTTATATAAATCATCAAGATGTATAAAAAAATATTCGATAATAACTTTCAAATACATGTATTTGGATGTTACTTTCTATACATATAAAGTTAGGTGAAAAGAGTTGATCCTAGTTAATATAAAATATATCCAACAATTAATACGAATTGTATTGTACATGTTAATTTACATACAATTACTAGCAATCATCAAAAAATCTGTCCATTGCTTTATCCATGGGCGCATCCATCTCTTCATCCCTGCATTCAGCGTGTTGCAATTCTCTTCTAATTTCTGAAGTTAAAGTATGATGGCTTTGATACTTTAGCAAATGCAGCAAAGCTTGTCTTTGTTCTGTGCTTATATCACTCTTGTATCTCTGAACAAATGTCAAGAGAGCTTGGTGCCAAAGGACCGGCATTTCTCTTCGATCTCTTTCAAACCTGTAAAATAAATCATACAAACGATGATTTGCATTTTCTAGATCCTTCCACTTAGACCTAGTTGATGTATAAAAATTTACCTCAAAAAATGGAACACAACACCATCGACGACCCTATAAGGCAGCGCATACTTTTTGTCAAACAATATCCTGAGAAAAATACTGTTGGCACCGGTATAATCCATCTCCGCAATTTTAAGCATCGCTGCTGCAGAATGTAGCACAGGTATCGAACACTTCGTAATGACAGATCCAACTATGGTAGCCTCCCGCAGTGTGCAAGTGCCAGATTGGAGCAGTGGAATTATAATACCCTTCATGAAACCACCAGGCTTGAAAAGTGCCTTTTTAAGTGCCTGATATAAATGGAAATTCAGTCTTTTGTACTCGTTAATGTCGTCCCTGATACGGGGCAGCAGCACAAGGTTGAAAAACCTCTGTGCCATCTTTTCCTTCAAATTTGACGCAAACACCCTTGTAGCCTGATACATAGCTGCAGCAGACCATTTGGAAGGGTCGGTTATGTAGAGTATCTGCTCCCAGTTCCTCAAGCTCGGAATGATCTTAAAAGCCTTGGGGAGCCTGCCACTGCGATACTTGGCCAACACGTCCCTTACACCCTCGTACATCTCCTTGACCTTGGGATTGAGCTCTTGCATGTGCATGACGGACGAAGTCTCCGAGAATTGCGTGTCCAACTCGGTTTTCTTCTCTGTGAGCTTCTCCATGATGATATCCGCTAGCGTACGCGTAGGCTGACGAGTGTGATCCATGAACATGTTGAGCGCTCGCTCATCCTCCTCGTCGATCTCGATGTCCTCGTAGTACTCGTTGCCCGCGACATCACCCTCTTCGGGCAGATCGTCCTCATCGTCGCTGATCTGCAGATTACCTAAGCTCGTGATTGGTTTCTTGAACTTGTGTGAGCCCAAGCCGTGTTCTTCCTCGATCTCTTGTTGCTGTTTTCGCGCTTGCAGAAGGATTTTTTGCGACGTTTTCGGGTCGACGAACTACAAAGCCAGAGGCAAAAATTAACCATTAGCGAGGATTTACAACAAGTGGGAGGATTTTTAATGATTTTCGAATGATATATAAACACTCACTAACCTCTTCGTCCTCGTCCTTACGATTGCGGACCTTTTGCCGATCTTTCGGCTTCAGGGTAGCCGCCTCTGCGATTTGATCGGCTAAACTGATTTTCGGTGGTTTCGATTCTCCCTTCGAAACTTTGACTTTTTTAGCTTTCCCCATGTTTTTTCCTTAGCTCTTGCGCCCTGCACTCCGAAACCATACACAAACCACAAAACACGTGCGCCTTACTGAACCATGCGAACTCTTTCGGAAATGTCATCTGCTGCAGACGGAGGACTCACCTAACCCAACCTGTGATTGTGTGAACTGCGTGTGTGAGCTGCAACTACACGCAGATGCATGCGAGAAGATTCGTGTAAACACTGTAAACAAAGCATCCTCCGGCTGCCCCCGAAGTAATTTGACAGGTAAAGTATACCTCATAGATTACAATTTGACACATCAAGCGTGTCGATGACACTGGTGGTGTTAACTGTGAAGCAAACAGTGTCCATTACTTTTCAAGCAGTAATATTAATGAAGTTAACGATGTAGATTTACTCTGGAGTAGAAAGTTATTTTTTCATTTTCAGTTAAACTCTTTCAAATGGAACCTGTATCGAAAAAAGTGAAGCTTGGCTCCGGTACGAGTGACGACAAACAAATCGATCCCGAAGAAGACGAGAAACAAGAATCGCTGCCAGTGGTTTTAAACTATGATGAATTGAGAACAGTATTCAAGTTTATGAAAGCCATTGATGTTTTGAGAGCAGCTCAAGTTTGCAAGTAAATCCAAGAGGCCTCGATGTTGACGTGGAGCATTGATTTTTAACGATTTAATTTCAGATCCTGGAAAGTCGCTGCTTACGATGAGGTGGAAAGTAGACAATATCCCGAGTATATTGTTGAACAATTTCAAAGTGTCGGTAGTTCAAGACGCAAACAAATCTGTAACAAACAGAAGGTGAAAAAGGTCCATTTGCTAGCTATAGATTTGAGTATCAAGCCTCATCTTGGTTTTATTTTCATGAGAACAAATGTGCACAAGAAGAAGGGCGTCACAACGTGGGATCCAAATCGTAAGTTTAAAGAGTTTGGTTTAAAAGTTGATGGTATAAGTGTACTTGTCTATCTTTCAGTGTACTTCTTTAATGGTCTCCCATCAAGCTGCACGCCTCTTATGATTTCAAGTGCTTATGATATTGTTGCCAATCACGAAGATACGAATGAAAAAAATACTGTTGTAGCAACTTTTTTACCGAAAATTCCAAACTTATCAGTGGACAGGCATAATATATCTTTTACAGAAGGACATATAAATATAAAGAAAGAGAAAGCTTTGTTAAAAAAATTTTTTGAGGACTCTGTGTGGAATTGTAATCAACAGTCCAAGTGTGTCATCTTATTGACAACTGGAGAGGCTTGCGAACTGTCGAAATATGCAACCGAATATTTTCAAAGCATGTAATTATGAATCTTTATATTAACAGTTAATTACTCACTACTTAACTTCTTTTTGCACTTACATTCTCTAACTTGAAGGATTTTTTTTTTTTTTTTAGGTATAAACCAGGAACAGTTGCTCTGTGGGGTGGAGTTGCTGCAAATCTAACAAATTGTTCATCCAAACAGTATGCTGCGTGTTCTAATGTGGTCCCACCATGTTTAACTCCTATTGTATGTGGGGTTTTATGCATATCAAGTCCTTCTTTACAATCTTGGTCTATTGTACTGCCCGAATCTTGTACCTCCAAAAGTGAAATGGAAAAACGATTGCGGGCTTTCAAAGAGAACATTCAGCTGAAGAAATATTCTTTAGCCTTGATGTGCGCTTGTGTCGCTCGGGAGGGTAACACGCATACAGAAATCCGAACGTTCAAGGAAGTATTTCCGGGGATCGACCTGGTTGGTTTTCTTGGTGATGGAGAGTATGGCTTAGATACATTAAATAAAGGTAATCTTACCCTTTAACCAAAATATTTATTCGTTAAATAGAAAATAAAATTTTTTTTCTACGCCAAAATTTTCAGAACGAGATAAGAACCTGGAGCTCTCATATTCAACTGTTTTTCTTATATTAACTTATGAATGAAAAACTCAATAACCCAAGTCTAATCACAGTTAAAATGGTAAAAGAGATGTTCTATATTTTGTAAAAGGCTGGCACTTTATTACTCAGACAGTAGACAAGTAACGAGCTATCGATGTGAATTATGGATCAAGGAAGATTTTCTTTAAAAATTGGCTGTCCTGCTGGATTACTTGATACTGCCTGTAGCTGACTATGAACAAAAATATTGTTTATAGAACAAAATTAATATTTTCATGAAAATTTTGTAGGTAAATGTTAAATAAATCTACGAAAACAACGACCAAGTGCTCAACGCATCCCATTCGGCGTCTAACGTCTCCCATTTTGTCCGAGAAATCAACGTAAAAAAAAAAAATGTTCTTCATTGCATGCAATTGCACAAATCTTCTGATACGTTGCTTCGCCTAAAATAAGAGCCAGACGCAGTGAATGTAAATAAAGGTGTAAGGATGATTTTGGATAACACCAGGAGGAGCTGGCACGATGCCTATTATCGTCCACACAACCGGAAAGACATTCGTTTTTCTACTCTGCTATCTGACCCAGCTACGGTGGCCGATTACCACGTCGAGCGGAAACTTCGTGCTTGGCTTCCAAGTATTTGACAGTACTCGCGCGTCTACCACGATAGCGACTGCCTTTATCCTGATACCCCTGGCTTTATGACCTTTTGATAGTGTACATAATACGTGGTGGCCGGCGAAGCAAAAGTGGGTCAGCAAGTGCACCTGACTCGACTAGCCGCGCGGACGATTACTCTCGGGTGCCTTCTGTATAAGAGCCCATGCCGATGGGTGATGGTGATGCAGTCGGTGTCCGGTGGGTTTTCGGTGCATCTTTTTGTTTTTCCCCCCCTTATACCGGCTTACAAAGGGAAAAGAAAAATTACAAGCCACCATGACCCTGGGCCCGCTGTTGATCGTAAGCGCGCTCTTGACCAGCTCGAGCGTGGCCTGGGAAAGCGGACTGAAGGAGAAATACGACGACTACGGGGAGTACTGGATTTTCATGCCGGACGGCAAGGGCCAGCCCCAGGTCGCTGTGCTCAAGGGGGAGGATCCCGAGGAATCCCGCAGCATACTCGAACAACCCATCAGCTTTATTTTGTACACACGGTACTTTGTATTCCTTGGTTTAATCAAGGGGTTTTTTTTTGTTTTTGTTTTTTTTTTAAAGCGATGGTATTTCATGTATTTTTTAAATTAGTTAACGGTCAGGCAATTTCCAGTTAGAGTACGTAGGGTGATTTGCTTTGTATTGACGATTCGACAGATCTAATCCAACGGAAGGCTCGTCGCTCTTCGTCAACGATACCGACTCGTTGACGAGCTCGAATTTTTCGGCTTCGCGACCCACCAAGTTCATCACTCACGGCTGGAAGTCCAGTGCCTTCAGCGCGAGCATAGTGAACATGAAGCAAGGTATAATCATCTTTCAGACTTTCCGTTGTTTCCTTCCCCGGCGGGGTTTACTTGATATGAAATTCATACGTGAAATTTACATGTATTTGCGTATTAAAATCGGTACAAGGTCGGCGAGTAAATCCAGATTTGTAAATGGACTTTTCAGAGTACTTGGCACGCGGGGATTACAACGTGTTTGTCGTTAATTGGGAGCCCCTGGCGGCGAGCACGTTCTACCTGGGCCCGATGCGCAACACCGGCAAAGTGGGAGCCAAGGCCGCGGAGTTCATAGATTTTCTCGCACGGCAGACCGGCATGGACACCAATAGGGTACACTTTATCGGTTAGTAGCGATAAGCGCGCGACGCGAACAGCATAAAATATTCAAATAGGTACATCATGTACTTGTTTGTTCAACGAGTCTTTGGATCAAATTTGATTCTTTTTTTTTTTTTTTTTTTTTCAAACTAAATTTGACAGTTTGATCGGTTAAAAAAAAAGATTATGATATGACCACCTTAAAATCGACAAGATGTACGAAAAACGCCTTCCGCTGTGAACAAATTACACGAGGTGAGGCGGATAGTCAAAATCTACCAAAAGAACTTGGTTAAAATCTCGTGCTTTGGATTATTCCCGTGCAAATTCGCATTTATTCCTTTTCTATTGTAAGATGATTGAATAATGGTCCGATTGGTATTGAAAAAAAGGCCACTCGTTGGGAGCGCACGTGGCGGGCAATACAGGCGAGCACGTAACGTCGGGCAAGCTGGGCCGAGTAACAGGGCTGGACCCAGCTCTGCCGGGCTTCCATCTGTTGGCCATGGACAAGGGCCGCCTCGATCCGACCGACGCTCAGTTCGTCGACATCATCCACTCGTGCGGTGGCGTCCTCGGATTCCTCAAGCCGCTCGGACACGTGGACTTTTATCCGAACGCCGGCGTCGCAGTGCAGCCCGGCTGCTGTTGTATGCCAGAGCTCATCGGTATTGCCGATATTTACATTTCTACGGTCTATTTACAAAATAAACGCGGTGTTTTGGAGACTGCAGTTCTTTTTTTTTTTTTTTTTTTTCAATCAAACAGATGCTTGCAGTCACGGCAGATCTTATCAGTACTTCACGGAAAGCATCAACTCGAACGTGGGCTTGCGAGCCAAGCAATGCGAGAACTGGGACAAGTATATGGCCGGCGACTGCGACAACGAGAAAATCATACTGCTGGGCGAGCATGTCGACAAATCGGCTCGCGGCTCGTATTTCTTGAGAACACGATCCGAGTCTCCGTACGCTTACGTCAAGGATATCACAGATAACTACGTTTAGAAGAAGAGTATGAAAAATCACATGATATCGTGTATACTATACAAATTTGTTATTTATTACTTTCTATAGTCTCTAAAATTTTTCTTTTTTTTCCTCGTATCTTTCTCACTCTCTTTTTCTTTCGTTACAATCAACTATGAGCATAAGTTTTAATAAATTAATTACATATGTTACAATTTCCGAGGTCGCAACGCACCACAAATGACTCTCTCTCTTTATCTTGTTCACAATGGCATAAACCTTGTTCACATTGGTGTATTATGCGTGTATGTATAAATATACACGGGTGTCTACGTCACACACCATTCGTTAAATCACACGACTAAAAAGAACAATGATCTCTTAGGGAAGATTCGCTAAGTGTAAAGCTGCGCTTGTTTGGACTGGTTTTTTTTTTTTTTTTTTTCCAAAGTCCCTAGTCGACGTTGCATGGGTGGGCAAACATGTGTTTATAATGCGAGTAGTTCGTTAGCTATTCAAGTGGATGGGGATGCGAACTTGTTTAGATAGGCTTGTAGAGTAGCGTCGTCACGTATTTTTTGCGATAGCGATGCGTCGCGGAGAGCACCATGACGCTATCTTTGATACTTAGGGCGTACAAGTGGTTCAACATTACGTGATTCGGCTCCGGTAGTAGGGTAGGCTCGCACTGCAAACAAAATTGTAAATATTCTTGTTATTATTGGTATTAATGTTTGTTATAAAAATTTGCTCGTAAGTATTAGATTTTACTTTTATTTATGTCTCAGAGCAAACAGATACTATAAAGTGTTTCAAATAAATTTTATTGTTCACACTGATTCTGTTTCATTCGCGGCGTACACTTTGTAAATACACAATTAACAGTAACATCTTACCGATAAAGGCGTGTCTTTGTTGAGTATAACTTGTAACAAATGCGGTGGCAGTATTGGAGGCCCAGAAACTTTTTCCCAAGGCTTATGTTGAGGTATCTCTTGGCCATATTCCGTTTGGGCACTACTACTAATGGCTTCGCTGTCTTTTGCAAGGGCTTGAAAGACTTCAAAGTCTGATTTTCTTACGGTTACACAATTATTCTTAGAGCCCATTCCACTATCGACGATTTTCTAGACAGTGGAAATCATTTGTTTACTCAACAGATATGCATTAAATTTTTTAAACAAAATAAACAATTATAAAACATCACTTACAAGGCCAGGATCGTGCCTCCACTCCCCATCAACGAAAAATTTGTACTGGTGATCACCTTCCGGTAAATCAATTATCGTTACAAAATCACCATGACTTTTCACCATAGGCAAAGTTTTCCAATCATTAAATGTACCACTGATAAAAACTTGTTTGCCTCCACCTTCCCATTTGAACACAGTTGGCAAAGTTTTTCTGTCGGAATTCTTACTGGTTGTTCCTTCAGAGACTGTATGAGAGCGAGGTCGAGCACCGTGGTAATTATGTGCCTCCTTAACATCATCCTTCTATGTTAATAACGCGATACAAAAACACACGGCACACAAAAGTTTCATATTAATTCTTCTAACAACTTGCCACATGTTAGCTGATTATTAATAAGAGGTTACTAATATAAGGACATCTAGTTGAAAAGTAATAATGAAATTGGCATTAAATGAATACAACAAAAGTAAGCAATAAAATCAATCATGAATTTGATGGCTCACAGCAATAACAAGACGACACTTTTAAGTTGTCGTTTGGATAACAATGAGATTATATTGTCAACATATCAACAAGAACATAAGAGTGCAATGAAAATCCTTCAAAAGAGCAGCTGTACCTTGGCAAAGTATGGCTCCTCCTCCTCTTCGTGGGAGGACTGAAAGACCATAATTTTGTCTTTTTTATCAAAAATAAAGGCCTGTCCTTGGTCCGTCTGTTTGCTAGGCGAGGGTGGAGGATGCTCTTTTGCTCCATGTCTGTGATGATGGTGGTGCTGCGGTTCGCGATGATGATCATGGTGGGCACCGGCTCCAGCTCGGTGAGGAGGCTCCCTCAACCTAAGGGGCTGGTTGCTCCCTTGGTTACCCATTATCCGAGCACTGCTGCCGTTCGAGCATACGGAGACGTATTCTGTTGTACAGAGGTAATATTTAGTATTCACAGAAACGACGACAATAGAATACGAAATAAGAAGGTACTCATTTGCACTTCATTTTTGAAAGTCAAAGTACTTGAGCTGCATTGGCAATGCAAAGTAGATAAGTATTATGCGTGTTGTGTTGTCTACGGTGCCGCAGACAAAGACATCAACACTTGATGTACCAACCTCGATATATCTACGCTGTGTGGACGTCGTCGTCGTTGACCTCCTCGACTCTCACAGAAGCACGTCGTCGTCGACAACCATTGGACTCATCTGCAAAACCCTTTGTTTCCAAGGAGAGGTAGTTGTCGATGCACTACACTCTTACTCTCTGGCTTCACTCCACGCGGTTGTACTCGCGGATGTTGTCGCGTTCGCGATATTCGAAAATATTATCAGCTGATCTGCCCCTGCCGACGTGCACGTCGACAGAGATTAGGTTCGACGACTGCAGACGTGCAGTTTACTCTCTACAACTGCATGTCTGCAACTCTGCATGCTTATATCATTCATGATCATTACATGCTTCGAAATGCTCCGACTGCTCCGAGTAAATAAAATATATAAGTGAAAGAAAGTAAAGATGGCTGCCTATATTTCACTTACCTATCGAGCACTCTGTTAGTTATACGTATAAATTAATGTTTTTATTCATTAACATAACAAAATAATGATTGGATAACAAACATAATTGCCCTCTTCTGTCAAGTAAGTAAATGTAAAATATTGCACAACTGTTTTCTTAAATGAATATATAGCCATAAAAAACATAATAAATACCTCACTTATCAACTTTTGATAAGACAAGGAATCCTTTTAATTGGTAACTTACCTGTTGTCAGTAAGTTGCGTTGTGGTAAACAACTTCGTAACTTCTGAATCGGTATAATAGATGTCACTGTTCAGAATGTACAAGTTGGTAAAGTTGGACCACAATTCACTAAAACAATCGCTAGTCAAAATTAAAGCTGTACACTCTGACATATGTAAATGTGGTCTAGAATGCGAAAGTGCAAACCATGTATTTTTTGCGTGTCCTCTTCACGAAAAGCACCGAACAGAACTAATCGGGGAACTCTACAGATTAAAGTTATTCGGACCATGTAATATATATGAATTAATTCAAGAAAACAACTTGGCTGTGATTAATGCTCTTAAGAGCTTCATTTATGGAACTAAAATTACTATTTAAATACGTACTAATAGAATAAATGTAACAATTAATTACGCACTCTAAGGACCAGCCTTACTTTGTATTTTTATGAATTGTTAAGCGCAACATTAGTATTCTAAGCGCACGAATGTTTCAATAATTTACTTATATTCAAACCAATGTATTGTATGTATAAATGTATGTAAATATCATTAAATGTAACCAGTAGTGTACTGGCATATGTATATTCGATACGACGCCAATAAATGAATTAAATGAAAAATAAAATGGTTCAACTATCTTGATAGTATTGAGTCTACAAATTAAATTTAAAATTATAATCTATATTTTAGCTGAGAAAAAGTGTTGAAAATTTTTTTACAATTGTCGGCTGCTTAAATTCTATTATCCATCTCAAATTAATTATAATTATTAGGACCCGAGCAACTCCAATACCGCCAATAGCTCATGTAAATTTACGTCTTTTTTAAGCCTCGAGGCAGGATATGTTTTGCCTTACCCCCATCTCGACCGTTTTTCGGATACCAATACCTCATACATTCGAAATAATCATAAGAAAATCGTCGCATCGGCTCGATCTAGTGCTAGTGTAGGGGTGGGCATGTATAAATTATACATAAAATTTCTTTCATAATTAATTGTCATTTGTCATGTAGTTAGGTAATTAAGTAGTTGTATAATGTTTTTCTCAGCCCGTGCGATTACATATAATATATACGCATTACTGACAACTGAACGTAATTACCTACATGGAGTTACATGACGATTGTAACGAACACGAGGATATTGACGTATGCAAATCCATATAATAGTTTAATTTAGTCAGGAAAAACCTCAAAAGTTCGTTTCTTGAGACTCATTTTCCCACTTTGCGATGGTCTCTTGAGAAATATAATAAGGTAAATGTCTCTATTATGAACACAAATTTCATCACACTTACATCTTTAATTTTTTTTTCTTAACTGTGAGCTTTTAAAGTAGCAATTTTGGTATTAGCTGGTGCGCTATAAATTTACCATTATTGTTCTATTTTTTAAATATGGCTCTTAGTTGTTGAAATACTTTATTTTATAAAAAGATTATAAGACCAAAATGTACATAGTTATGAAACGTTATACCTATTGTTTCATTTTATGTCCCTATTTATATAACTTTTTAAAAAACGTAGATTTAGTGTATTGTTTTAAGACAATTAAAGTTTTTTTATTTGCATAACACTATTTTATTTAATAAAAATAATTATTTCGTTTGTTTGTTAACTAGAAGTATATCNTTTAAGACAATTAAAGTTTTTTCACTTGCGTAACACTATTTTATTTAACAAAAATAATAATTATATCGTTTATTTGCTTGCTAGAAATATAAAAATTCCTCGTTGAAGTTTGGTGCCATAATACGTACAGTTCAAAAAATAGGTTATGTACTACTTTGTTCCTATTTATGGAATTATCTTTAAAATTGGTCATTTATTGTATGTAAAAAGAAATTTTTCTTATGAATTCATAAAGATCCATAAAATATGCAACTACCACAATTTTTTTATTCAAAAAAGGGAGGTTCATTCAAAAACGGTATCCACCGTCTCTTGACCAGCTTCAAAGCCTCTATAATCGAATAGTTTTATGATCGGGACAAACACAGGTGTGTGGCATGTAGAGACAGTAATATACAATTAGATTGAGCAGAACATTTTTTGTTTCAATAGTGAGAAGGCGAAAATTATCTAAAAACCCATGAGTTGACGAAAGGCCAACGTATAGGAATGGTGTTGAATACACCCATATGGACCCCATACATGTATGGGTTCGGCATTTTACCGACTAAAACGTTAAATCCTTCAAAAAAGGATCTCCTGGCGGTCCCACTGAGTTAAAAAATTTGAGGAAAAAAATCTCAAAAACCAATGATGGTAATCGAATCCACCGCGTTGGCTCCGACCCCTCGAGGCTTGCCAGGTGAAGAAGCAAGCTTTTTTTCGCAGAGTGACAAATTATTTTTCAAAACGTTATTTTATCCAACCAAAACTAGGTGAACGCTTATATATATGTTGAGCTACTCGTGCAACTTGTTTCCACAAAATGGTTTTTGGCGCCAAGTAATTTGTAAAATTTTTCTTTCGGTGCTTTGGATCTTGACAAGCTGTGGAAAAATAATTATAAATGTGATGATCTAGCTATTTTTTTTCTCTTTTTTCTTTTTTTTTTTTTTTTTTTTTTTAACTGGTGTGAAGAAGGAGGAATCTTCGAAAGTCACCTTTGGTTCGTAGAACCTAGTGTCGGATTGACCAAACGAACGAAGTTGGCACCTCCTCGACCAAAGTCCACCACCCCGCAGGAGACCGAACCGAATTCTTTTTCTTCTTGAAAAATAAAAGAAAAGAAAAAGAGGAGGAGCGATCGAAGGAATATTAAATAATATACGACCACAATTAGTTGCCACTTCTCGCACAAAGGGATGAGAGGAGGGTCAGTCGCTAATACAAAAGGAAGCGTGATCTTGCCATGATACAGCAAACGAATGAAGAGCTTTAGAAAGCCATCCGCAAAACACGCATCTTCTGGTTAAATTATTACAGGTGTGTTTGCTCTATGGGAGAACAATATGAAACTATGTATACTCAATAGAGCAATATCGATATACGAGTATGTGGTTACTTTGAAATTAAACATTGGAATTCCAAATTTATGATTGTTATATTTGATGCGAGATTTAATATTTTAAACGACAAACTGTATTTTAAATTTTACAATCCAATTAATAGTGTCACTTCGCACATTTTTCACATAATAATAATTCAAAATAAAGTGAGATAACAACGAGGTAAGCATACCGTGTATAGGAGTGTTTTGGCCAGTTTCTATGCTTTATACGATCTCTAATATAATATCTTTTCTTATTATCCATCAAGTTTCTTATTATTGCATCCGGTTTCACGATTACCTCCCAACGAGTTCCAACGTAATTTTCTATGAGGTATCGCATTCTGTTATTAATATCTAACACCACGAAAAAATTATGATGCGAGGAATATATATACATATATATATGGAACAAATGTCACATTAAACACATTTTATTATTTTGTAAAAAAAAATTACATTCTGTTCCATGATAACCTATTCTTCGTCACCGGTATAAAGCACATTATTAATTGCTTACTTCGTGTCAAACCGGATTTTTCTATTGAGAATTTAAAAATATTAAAAATTTCACACAGAAATTGGAAAAATGTGTTTTCGTGAAAATGTTTGAACGGTCAACAATATTTACTTACATTTTACTGATAACTACGTTAGCTTCGATTGTTTTGTTAACATAATTTTCGCTTAAGAATTTAAATAGTTTTACAAATTTTGTATTTGCATTTTTTCTCATGTTTCTTTTTAATCATAATAGCTCTTATTACAAACACCAGTTTCTTTGTGATGTAATGTTTTACCAACATCAAACTGTTAAGGAATTATATTTATATAATTATTATGCCATCATATACAACGTATTTATCAAACACGTCAATGATAGTCTATATATTTTTTACCTTCATCACAATTGTATTGTTACACATAAGACAGTTAATCAGAAAATGTAAATTTGATTATCTCATGTATTACTATTTATGTATCCTTTATTTCATCCAATTTCCTCATACATAAAAGTTTAGCAACACACATTTTACATTGAAAACCATACCCAACAACCTCCTTCTCACTATCATAAATATAAGAACTTTTACTTTCTATTTTGTTTCATGTCAACTTTATTTTATCTTTTATACTTGTTCTTTTTGATTTAAACACTTTTTCATTAACATACGGTACTGCAAAAATAAACCAGATAAATTAAATGAATTTAAAGCTGTTTGTGTGTTTTTTTGTATTTTTTTTTTATCCGCACAGTGACTAATCAGTGGGGTTACTTTTAATTGAACGAACATAGAAAACAGATTAATTTTAAGTAATATTATAATTACAACTTAGATACAGATCTAAGGAACTTTTTCACTTCTTTATACTTTTTTACAATTTCAATTTACTCTTCAAACTCAACACTTGCATTGTCTTGCTTTCAATATTATTTTTTGCTTATAATTGAGCCGGTCGTGATCCTCTTTTTCCCCATAATTGTCATGTATCTAACGTCTTCGCATAAATCATCGACGTTGATTGGGATGTCTTTTCACCCGTTGGCTGAGATCTTCAATTCTGTTAGCTATTTTTACCTTGCCTTCTTGTCTCTCTTTTCCTCCATCCGCTTTTCTGCACCAAGACTGTATTTGTATTTTTTCACAATTCTTCCGTCTTGTTTATTCACTTCTATTGTCTCCTATTTTCTATATTAGTTTTTCCTAGGATTATTCAAAATCAACAAGTCTTCTTTCTATTTTTGCGATCTTCACAAGTATACACCCTTCGATATACCCTTGATAATTGAAAATTTGGGCCTTAGTATCAAATAATCGATATTGACTCTTCAGGATATTATTAAGGGATGCTCGATGAATGGGTGAAAAATTCCGT